GTACTAGTACTGCTGCTACTACTACTCCTCCTACTCCTACAGTAGCGGAAGTCGTAGGTCGTAGATAACGTTCTGGCAGGAGCAAGAGGAGGGTCAGAAGGATGCGCAGTAGCTCACTTTGCATTTTCGTTGATGCTGCATTGTTCGAGATTGTAGATCGATTCCCAACATGCCCTGCCTGCAGTTTGGCTTAGAACCATACTTCGACAGATTCACTTTAAGGGGAATCGGGTCTGCACAACTCGGAGGTCCACTTGCTTCCTGAAACTGTCGCGGAAGCCGATTCCGTCTTCAACGGTATGCCCAACATTGCCCAACACACGTTCTAGTAGCCTCTTAGTCTTGGCAGCTGCTTGCGGGCCAGCTGCCTAGCCGGAAATGTGCAGAAGATATATACCTCGGCCATCAGCCAATTGAAAGTTTCAACATGCATCAAGCCAAATCTTGCCACCGCAAAGCAGTCACGGGCAGAACAAACTCACACGCAGACACACCCACACACGCAGAGACCATCCTTACAAACGTCAAGAAGGCAAGCATGAAGGGTGGCGCAGTGCGGCAGGGATGCTGCCCCGCTGGCACAAGCAAGCTCCTGTACTTTACCTGCACCGTCTTCATGTCCACCTTCAAGCGTCGAATAGTCCAGTCGGCCCGCAGCACAGGCTCCTCGGAACAAGCGCTTGGCTTCCCGAGCTCGTGGTCTGTTCTACATGCGCGGCGATATAGACATGGGCTCTGGTTCAGCCGGCGGAGGGCCATCCCAGTACAACACATTCCGTGGGTTCTTCCGTTCCTGCTGGAGCTGACCAAAGAGCTTTTATTTTTCTTACATTTCGTAACAATTAGACAACCACCACAGGAGCAGTTCGACGGGCTTCGTTCAACTCATGCCGAATTGACGTAATGCCGAAGCTGACTTGAGGCTTATTGGTCAGCCTTGTTGTGCAGTGCTCGTTGATCGCTTGTTATTGTTGTGATGACTCATTGTGACTGCTTGTCGAAACAATCTTGCAAGGGCTAGATGGGGCTAGTCAGCACTGGGACTCCAAACTGACGTCCGTGATTTATTTTGTAACAACTTGGCTCCTTGTTCCCTCTGGACTGCATCTCACCGGAAGGCAGCTGATCGAAGGTGCGAACGCCGCCTGCCACCAAGCAACACAGCTAAACAACGGTGCTTTCGACATCCAACAATCAGTTGAGCAAGATCGCAACCGATGGTTGGAGTGCGAATGAAATGGTACTCCGTGCAACAAAGCATTACGACTTTGAACATGTACATGATGGGTCACCGACACAGGAAAGCCAGGACGCTGTTTTCAGGGGCGCCTTTTCAGCCCAACTATTACCAGTACTGACACATGGCGGCGGTCTAGGCCCGCAATCTTAATTGAATGTGGCGGGCTTCGGATGGTAATGGCGAAAATCCTGAACCCACGTTTTAGTTTTGCAATGGGCCAAGGCCAAGTCACCTGTGACTGGAGGGGGAGGCGGGGCCGGCACCAAGTCCAGCATCTCCTCCCATGGCTCCGGAGCGCGAGCTGGCCGCCGCCCGCCTCTGCAACATGAGACACCAGCAGGGCCCTAACCTCTCAGAGTGCCCCACAGGCCTCTTGAGAAAGGCCGGCGTCTGTGCAAGCGCGGAGAGGCAGCCCGATCGAACTCGACCTTCACGGAATCCGGGCTGCCGAGCTGAGCCTGGAAGCTTTGCAATTCGAGTGACTCATGAAATTTAGACACTAAGGGTGAAGGTTTCTGAGATCGATGCTCGCTGGAACGAGTTGGGGGAATCGGGACGCCCGACATCTACCATCAGGTCTCAGCGCAGCCTCGTGTTGAGGCCGCGCATCGCCTGCAATCGACTTCGCCGATTGCAGATGTCTGGACTAACTGACCTAAGCCAGCAGCAGCGAGTAACGGCGACCTTTGCAAGTTTCTCTGCTTCGGTTTGGGGAAATTGGTCTGCATGCAAATGAGCAAGCTCTGCAGTGCCTGCACCATGCCCAACTTCGCTTAGCGGGCCTTCGATACAATTGCAGACCTTTCCCCGGACGCTCGCATCAATGGGCGGCACACGGCTAAAGCACTGTTGGACATGGATTTGATCATGGTTGGCGGCAATCGAGGCTGGCAGAGAACTTGGCAGTGAAGCTTTCCAGAATGATTTTTTTCAGATCTTGTCGATCAGAACTTCAGCGCAAGTGCAAGCCAGATTGTCCCTCTGTTCTGTGGGGCACCCTTCGGCTCTTCGCCTTTCGGTGCAGAGTGTCCGGCAGCATCCATTCGTTGCGACACGACGGCACTCGGAGCCGGGTCCAGGATGGCCCAGGAGTCCAGCACGCGCTGGCTGGTAGGTCTTTCGTGCCGCGCTGCTCATCGCCGTTGCATCAGAGCCGCCTGGCCCGCGACTCAGCGTGGATCCACTGCAGACTCGGTGACGCCGTGTAAGTTCCAGCTCAACTGACTTTGGGCTTAAATCGCCGATCTGCCAAAGCCCAAGCAAAGAACAGGACACAGGTCCTGTCACCGAGGGGCATGAAAAGATTGTCGGAATTCAAACCTCTACATTGGTCGAATGAACAGCCGCTGCTTGAACAGTGCCGTGCAGCCTCACCCTTAAGCCTGAAGTGCCCAGTCCAGCAGACCACCCACAGCATGAAGACCACCAATCCCCAACCTGCAGATCACTTCTATGCTCTCAGTCTGCTTGCAGTTTTCCACTGGGCATCCCTGGACACAGTGCGCTGCGGCCTAAAACCTCGTCCATGCCACTGGGGAAGACAACCACGTAGAAGGATGCAGAGGCACCTCCGAGTCGCATGACGACGTTTGCTGAGAAAGAGAAACCATGGGGCATACTTTCGCAAAGCAGTGGCTCGGGTGCACAACTAACTTGCCTGACTGAGCCAGGTGGGGCCCCAGCCCCAGCTGCCCGCCCGTGCCCGTGCGAAGCACAACAGGTGGGCTTCATCGGCTGAGTTGAGCATCTAGGACGACGAACCGGGCACTCTTCCAATTTGCATTGTGTAGCCCGCGTGCTGCTAAAGACCCAAAACCCTATCAAGCTTGCACATCGGAGCATCCTTTTAATCGTGGAATGAGCGACTGAGCCACCAGTACCTCGTACTGCCACGCAGAGCCTGTATCCTGCTGGAGCTGTGATGTGCAGTCCAGCTCACACGAGGCAAATGCGTTCCGGCAGCAGGAAGCTTGGAAGCTCTGCACGAACGGGCCAGTGCGAAGTGCAGGGAGTGCAGAAATCAGGCACAAACAAATTTAGCAGAGCTAATTCAGCCCGCGGAGTGTCAAAGAGAAAACTATGCGGCTCTGCGGCTCCGGTCTTTGTGACAGCTTGCGTTGCCGCATCGGTGTGCGCCCATGAACATGTCAGTTGACACTCCTCGCGCACGTGCCAAATCCCTGCCATGCCACTACTCCCATGGCGCTGCCCTGCAAATCAACTTTTAGCGTCTAGATCCGATGAATTTGGCGCACGTTGAATCCACTTGCCAGAGATGGTGCCAACTACAAAGATGTTCAACAACATCACATGCAAAGTTATCGGAAAGCTCGATATCTTTGGATCCACGTGCTGTTGCCACCACGGCCATGCTGGTATTCTACATAAACATTGGGCGCCCCAGCAACCCTACAACTTCTCGTGGGATATGCTATGTGTCCGCATGGGCAAGTCATCGTCGTTCTCACCATTTCCTGGGACTTTCACAGTGCGGCGGATCGCTTACGCTCTCCTGACGGCATTGTGGTATTGGCTGGACAGAGATCAAAAGTCGGTGCAGCTAAGCTGTCTGTGCAGATGTAACTCAAGAGAACCGATTCTGATCAGCTCTGTGCCGGACAGAACCTTGTCTGCCAGATGCGTCTGGCGATTTAGTCGCTTCGCAGGTTTCTGCACCACAATCTCTGTCCAGCAGGGCCTGGTGCATGGCTTGGCAGCCCTTTGGGACAAGCAAGCACAAGTGACCGAAAATGACAGTCCAACAGGCATGATGGCGTTTGATGCACTCGCCAAAGCACCGAAATCTAGTTTTTCAGCTTGCCGCTCTTCGCGGAGGGCAGGATTTCCTGGTCTCCTCTATGCATTCAGCAAGAGGGCGACAAGCAAATCAGCTTGGGCAGCCTCAATCTAATCCATTCTTCTAGGCCGCTATGACATGACGGACTGAACACACAGCACATGTTTGGAAGATTCACGTGCATGGTTAACACTGCACAGTATTGAAGTGAGATGTGGCTAAACCAGCATGGTGCAAAATAGCAGGAATGGACTAGTTGAGCTTGCCGTGCGAGCTGTAGCTTCAATGGCCAGCAGCCAGCTTGGATCGCATCTGATCGTTGCAAACACTTCGAAGGCAAACCGTCAAGCTGCCGCCTACGGCAACCCTTGTAGCATGCGGTCGCTAAAACTACAAAGCCGTAGCTTACAAAAGTCAGATCTCCGTAGCTGCCTGCATCACGGAAAATCTCCGCGTTTGACCAGTCACTGGTGTACAACGCCTTTCCAAATTCTGTCATTGCAAGGGTCCAGCGTCAAAATTCGGTGCTCCACCGGAATTTCAATCTATCAACCTCCCTTTCTGTCAAACAAACAGGCGGAGCCCGCTGGCCCTGATTGCGCTAGCCACGGGTGGGCTAGCCGTCGCGTTTGCCGAGCCCTCATCTTGGGGGTAGCAAAGCTCTTGGCGCAGCACCACAAATGGGCCCGGCTGCCTAGGTACAGAAAGTGCTTGCACGAGCTGTTGCGACAGCATGAAGGCTGACAGGGTTTTGGGGTAAACGGCTTTCCGCAAACAGTTGTGCAAGAGCCTCTGCGATGTTTTGTTTCGGTGAGTGGTGTGGTGCGGTGCATAGACGAAGCTTAGCCAGAGAAGTTCTACTGCCGCTGTATCAACTTGCCCATTCCACCTGTGTTCTTTTGTCTGTCCTGCCTGTCTTGACCATTCTTCTTCTCAACAGCACGACTTTCACATGCAGATCATCGGGATGCTGCGGATGTAGGTGAATAGTTCGATCAGAAGATGCCCTACAAGCAACAACCACTGTATCATAGCGTTCCGTGTTGCTGGAAGCTACTGCAGTGCTGATGCAGAAGAGGAGCTGCCTTCGTGTCTGGGATCGCGCTTTATGCCCAAATTGAGGTATGTCAGCACGAAGGGAGATTGTTCGGCTTCTTGCCTTCGCACACTCACGGACATGCACGCACCGAAGCATTTTCAAGGCTGGCTGCGATCCGAAGGGGTGATATAATAGCTTACTAGCCCACTGCACAACACTATTCAACTGCACTGTTGCGACTACTATTCCACAGAATCACCGGAGGATAGAAAGGGTAGTTTGGGGCTTCCACTGGACTTTCCGGCCTGCACAACTCGATCGTGTGCATCAGGCCTGCGGCTTGCAGACTCACACAACAGGCATGCTAGAAGCCATGTGCGCCAGTACCCCTTCCACTACAAACCCCGTAGCGACCTCAATCAGGGCACTGAGAGCATCATGGTCACTGCCACCAGTGCCCAAGTTCCAGGTGCCCTTCACACTGGGGCAACCTCGGAACAGTCAGCCACGACCTCGTCTCCCCCTCTGACGGACCAGAACACACCGAACACAACAATGCCAACATCACGCAGCTCCCTTATGAAAACAACAACCAACACACACTCGCACTCACACTCTCACACACATACACACACACACACACTCTCACACTCACTCACACACGCACGCACACACACAGACAAAATAAACACACACAGACAGACACGCTCACACAAACACAAACACATAAGCACACAAACACACACACACACACACAAAACAAAACGAAACAAAACAAAAAACACATACTCACACACTCACTCACCCACTCACTCACCCACTGACTCACCCACTCACTCACTCACATCACATCACATCACATCACAACATCACATCACAACATCACATCACATCACGTCACATCACATCACATCATGCACCCACCCTCCCACACTGCCACCCACGCACGCACCCACGCAAGCAGAATCCACGCACGCAGCACCCACGCACGCATCCGCGCATGCATCCACGAATGACCCTCGCACGCACCCACGCACCCACCCTGCACCTACCGCGCACCCACTGCGCACACACCCACGCACCCACCCACGCACCCACGCACGCACCCACCC